GAACGTGGTTTCTGTGACCTCTCCACGGCGACCCTCATCCGCATGGTTGCACTTTGTGTCATCGGGTGTTTATCGCTTGTGTGATGTCCTGGTGGGGTGGAAAGTCAGTCAGTCAGTCTTTAGATACCTGTAGGCCATCAGATTGTAAACAATTAATAAGAATGGGAAACTGCATGACTTTACTCCTATACAAGTCCCTAGAGGCCACCCCCTCCACACCTCGCAACATTTTGTTTTTTGAAAGCCCAACCGCGGCTTTAGTCCGAGGCCCTAATCCGAGGTCCAAATATAACCTAACAGTCGAACAGGGATTCTGGGACTTGTGCCAGGGTGATCCTCATCCGAGTAGTGCCATTTTGTGTCACCGGGAGTTGAATGCTCGTTGTGCGGTCCTGGTGGGATTGAACGTCACTTACTCACTTGAACTGTATGTCTGCGAGTTTATGATCGTGTGAAGTGAATTGTTTTACAAACTTTAACGACTGTTAATGTGCATTTCACTGGTCAATAATGCAGTAGTTTGCCTTTGTTTTCCCCATCTTTGGACTGCATTCTCAGCATTAGTCAACCTTTTAGAACTGAATAACCGGATGTACCTCTCTAATCCGTTTGTCTGTCTAGCTGTTAGTTTCTCTGTCTGTCTGTCTGTCTGTCTGTCTGTCTGTCTCATTCTATGTGACTGTTCATATATGTATGTAGGTATATGTATATATATATACATATATATATATATATATATATATATATATATATATATATATATACATATATATATATATATATATATATATATATATATGTGTGTGTGTGTGTGTATGTATGTATGTGTTCTGCTCCTCTTCATCCGCCCGTCTATTTCTTTATCTGTCTGTCGTTCTGCTTTCTCGCCCATCCTTTTGCCAGCAGGGCTTTCTATTTCTCCGTCTCTGCACGAGTCAGTCCGTCTACTTGTCTGTCTATCTATTTATATGTCGAGTTGCCCTTCTCCTTGTGGTGTTTCTGAAAGACCCACATTGTGTGAGCTATGCTGTTTCATGATACCTATCTGCCTGTCTCCCTGTTGTTATCGCAATCTAGCAAACGGTCTGTCTGCGCCTGCATATTATCTCCTATCTTTATTTTCGCTAATTTTATCAACACCCACCCAAAAAAAAAATGCGGTTAATATCCAGCCAACGGTTACGGGAGACAATGACTGACACAAGACAAAAGAACCCCCATGTATTACCCGACACATGGAACCGCTTTCAGAAGTAAAACAAGGACAAAAAAGTCGATAACTGGCATGTGATTTGTTTCTCCCGTGAGGTCTCTCTTTAAGCCAGCTTTGAATAGCTGCTTCTCTGTGCACCGGTGTATTGTGTGCGCTATATTTATTTATATCGGCTCATTCAATATCATCCTGTCTGCCCCTTTCTCTTTTTACCATTCTACCGCCTCTTCATTGCAACCGGCTCAATTTACCTTCGGTGCTGTTTTTTGCTGGCCGTTTTCGCTTTCGAAGCATACGTCTGACTTCTTATCATCAGACTAGTTAGTGCATAGGTGCCGGAACCTGGGAGTTCAGCCCCCCCCCCCTCGACCCACCCCTCCCTAATTTTAGAGGAGGGTCAGCTGACCTCCGTTTAACAGTTTTTTAGGAACAGAGACATAACACCCCTGCTCTCTCTCCCTAAACCACTTCACCCCTTCCCCTATCCTATATGGACTTCTCTTGTTCATTATTTGTTTATGGATATCATACTATTTCAAATATATATATATATATATATATATATATATATATATATATATATATATATATTTTATCTTTCAGCAATTTATTATTATTGCACAATTAAATAATTTTCTAGTGCGAGTGCCTCAAAGGGATTAAGTCTTGTTTAATTGATCTACATTTAAAAAAATTATAATAAAAGTATTACTACGTCACTCAACAAGACTAAAGCTCGACCTGTATCTAAACAGTTATTTTGGGAAGGTCTGCTAGCGCAAACCTGGTTAGTGCCTTGTGGGAGAGCGTCTACAGTTCGGAGGAGCAGATGGATCACCACAGTCTGGTGAGATTAATGCAGGGGGGAAGGGACGAGAGGTTCTGGCAGATGGCAGATACAATTTACATGGAAGCACTGCTTTGATCTCACATAATCTACAATTTTCAGCAGTTCTCGTTATGCCTAGTGGCACATGAGGCTTCAGAGAGGATTTTCCATGCTTTCCTGTTCTGTGCAATCTTCAGTGCAGTTTTCCATGTCAAAGATGCTGCACTCAGGTCACTTTCCATCGTTCGTCTCCATGTTGTTTTTGGGCGCCCCTGTTTTCTCTTTCCCTCTGGTGTCCATGTGAGAGCTGTTTTGGCGGGTACATCAGGATTCATTCTCATAACGTGGCCAAGCCATTTCCATCTTCTCTTGGTTATCATACTGTCTAGAGAGTCTTGGTTTGTGACTTGAAGTAGTTTAGTGTTTGAGATTGTATCTGGCCAGAAAATATTCTACAATTTTACCGAGGATCAAATGTACTACTTAACATAGATCTTTTATAATTTGTGTGTGTGGGGATTTTTATCTAATTTACAAGTCATCATAGATTATTAATTCCTTCTTCTTCTTAAAGTCCATGCCATGTGGCGTTGGTATTCATGTCTACCCACAACCTTCTGCCTCTTGTACTTTCAGTCAAAACAGATGATCCTCCATGCAATGTGGCGTTGGTATTCATGTCTATCCACAACCTTCTGCCTCTTGTATTTTCAGTCAACACAGATGATCTTCCATGCCATGATGTCAGAATGTCCTGTATCTTCTCTCTCGGTCTCCCTCTTTCCTTCTTCCCCCCCAACTGTCCTACTGACACGATGTACTCTAGTTTTATCCTTCTCAAGAATGAACAGAGAATGTAGATTGTCTTTTCTGGTGTGGGCAAACAGTTCTCTTCGTGGGTTAATTTCTTTCATGACATCTTGATTAGTTTCTTTGTCTGTCCATTGTTGAATTTACTATAAATCTAAATTACTAATGTACCGTAGAAAACTAAGGGCATAGGTGATCAGAACATATGCAATGCGATGAAAGCGTATCTAATGGAAGTGAAATATAACTCTTTGACACAAACTGTATGATAGAATTAGAAAGGCATACATAAAGTGTTTGCTACAACAGATAGAGATAGAGAGCGATGTTTATAAATGCAGAAGAGACAGCAGATAGACAGAAAAACAAAACAGAACTAAAAAGAATGACTGATAGAACAATAACGTGTTTTACACACTCACACACACACACACACACACGTAGACACACACACCACTATAGATATCTTTCGAGATCAATTTCGAATGACTTCTCTGTCAGAGCAATGATTCACAATTACCAGGTTAACTCTGAGGCTAAAGCAATAAAATTGGGAATAAATGTTTAAGCATTGATCGGTACCCATATAAGTAGAATGACAACTGTGAGTTTAGATGAAGCATCGTACATTATAAAGAATGTTAACATGTAGTCGCACCATGATTCAATACATGGTGTCTTCAAAAAAAAAAAGGAATAAGTTTTTAGCCTTAAGGTAATATAGACGCCCTAAACTAGGAAAAATAAGAAAAACATCAAAATATCCACTTTCCTTTTAGAAACTAATTATATGTTACATATTACATATATTAAATACTTCCGGATCGAGGCAGATATGAATAATTAACTCAAATAGTTTGAATTATAATAGTTTTTTAACTAACTTAAGTAGTTTGAATTCTAATAGTTTTAGAACAGGTATTATAAAAGAGAATGTATTATTGTATAACTCACAATTTACTAGATCGTTCGTTCTTCTACAACTACGAACCCAAAGATATGGATTTCATTTGTTTGCTTTAAAAATCTGCCTGCGAGTTTCTTTTCCTTCTTCTTCTTCTTTGCGTTTACTGGATTAAACTCCGGCGGAAAGTTCTGGTTGTTCGTCCATCTTTGGACTTTAGTCTTATTCCGAACATGAGTGTTACCTGCACATATGCTTTACAGATCTGACTTATCTGTATGCAGATTGTTGGTTCCTTGTCTCCCAGGCAGATGCACTCTGACTTCGAAAGAAGCCCCCAATTATTGACTCTAACAACATACTTTTATGCAGGCAGTGTGTCTATTCTTGTTTTCCCCACAATGGAACCCAGAACCCACACGGGGAGGCCAGCGAGTTTAACCTTTAATATGTTGCAAGTTATGAGAGACTGCTTTGTGACACCATACCACACAGGTCATACACCAACAGAGAAGAGAGACTTAAAGCACGATATAACCGAAAATACGAGTTAACATCAGAGAAACTCAACAACTGTCGATCTGTCAATGGCCGAGGCATATAGGACAGCAAGATAACGATATGTCAATGGTCGAGGCATTTAGGACAGCAAGATGACGATATGTCAATGCTCGAGGCATATAGGACAGCTAGATGACGATATGTCAATGGTCGAGGCATATAGGACAGCAAGATGACGATCTGTCAATGGTCGAGGCAAATAGGACAACAAGATGATATGTCAATGGTCGAGGCATATAGGACAGCAAGATGACGATCTGTCAATGGTCGAGGCAAATAGGACAACAAGATGATATGTCAATGGTCGAGGCATATAGGACAACAAGACGATATGTCAATGGTCGAGGCATATAGGACAGCAAGATGACGATCTGTCAATGGTCGAGGCATATAGGACAGCTAGATGACGAAATGTCAATGGTCGAGGCATATAGGACAGCAAGATAACGATATGTCAATGGTCGAGGTATATAAGACAACAAGATGACGATCTGTCAATGGTCGAGGCATATAGGACAGCAAGATAACGATCTGTCAATGGTCGAGGCAAATAGGACAGCAAGATGATGATATGTTAATGGTCGAGGTATATAGGACTGCAAGAGGTAGAACCCTATATTTCTTTCTACACACGAAGTGCTAGAAGAGGAAGGTAAGAAAAAAAAACTGTTTTAATGACCTACCTTCGAGAAAATGCCAGCCATGCTAAGTTCTGTTTCAAGCACCATGACACCGATTCCAATCATCCCAAACACAAGGCAATAGTCTGATATCTGCTTCCGCTTTTGATACAAAGAGCGTCGCTTCCCTAACCGGTATCCTACACTTGGCTTCTGACGAGGCTTCTGTTGAAATAAACGTTCATCGGTCAATTTTTGAAAATCCGAGCCTACGACGAGAGCCTGTCCTGACTCCTCTGTGTAGCTGAACTTGGACGAGGTAGGCAAAGACTGCATAGACGTGGGTTTCTGCAGCTGTCTGAATGTTCCAATAGCGCCATTGATACGCATATAGTCAACACCAATGTTTGATAAAACATGTGCATTATGCCTTCCCCCATCATCACTGTACGCCCGACCTGAATCGTCTTCACTACTAGCCCGAGCTTTGTCTCTCTGAGCATGAAAGTATGGAGACCGACCGCCCGTTCGCATATACGGGGCCCTTAAATTTAGTTCAGACCTTGAAACCACATTCAAAGTAGGTATTGGTTCTGGGCTAGTAGATGCTAGGTCGTAACTAGGTCCCATATTTCGCAGTTTCCATTTACCCATCGAGCCAGACATCGACTCCCGCGGAGAATGAGCCAGCAGGAACTGTGCCCGTCGGGTGGTGTCGAACTCAGAAGAACCGACTTTAAGTCGCTGTTGGTGCGCCCTTTGTTGTATGCTGGCTCGCTCTGGTGGCTCCGTGCCAAACGTGTAGTTGTAAAGCTCAATGTCGGGAGACGTGTAGCCTTTGTTAACGCGGCCATCGTTGGCGTCTGTGGAATTGTTAGGTTTATGGAGGCTGCTGTTGATGCTGCTTGGACTGCTTGAGCTGACGATGCTGCTGCTGGTGTTATTGTTGTTGTTGACCACAGATACTCCAGCCTCACTGTTTGCTTCAGTGGGTTCAGAACTCTGGAGTCCGTGTACCGGCACTATTGATATCACGGGTAGAGACACAGCCGGCACGCAACGATCGTCATAAGTATCCATGTCATTGTTATTATCTTTCAAAGACAGTTCCGTTGAAAAAATAACTTTATCCAATATTGTTTTTGTTTATGGTAGAGGCCAACACTTCTAGTTGTATCCACGTAGAAAGTCTAGCACAGACGATAGCATTCGAAAGTGTATTTACCTAGACCTATTAACACCGTTATAAGTATCCGTGTAGCTGTTTATTATTTTGTCATGAACTTTCAGATAACATATTCACTTAATTCACAGTCCTTTCTGTTTTGGTTTTCAAAATTACTTCTTAAGACTAATTTCAAATACTCCTAATTGTATCTACAAAAACCATCAGGCAATTACAAAAGCTTTGATAACAGTTTTTTTTTTTTTAACTAAACCACCATAAATATTGTCCGCGCCATTCCTTTGATCTGTCCAAAACATTTATTTTAAAATATACGCTTATTCCATATCCTCCTGTTTTTTCCCCTGTCCATACAGTTGCAAATACTTCTGGTCTTATCTTTTACTGTCAGACGGGGAGCTTGCATAAGGTTATTTCTTTGCTTTGCCAAAATCGCAGCAACACATTCATTAGGTATTTCCGTGTCATTGTTTTACCTTTCCACAATAATTCTGTTTTAAGTCTCAACTTTATCCAGTATCCTCCTGTTATTATAACAATGACTAAAACGTCTAGTCCTGTGTACCTACACTTTCAGGCAAAGACGCTAGTTTGATCACAGTTGTTCCCCCGATTTACCTAAACCGCCGCACTACTAGCAAGCGACGTGCAAACTGTGATGTTTACAGGCTTTGTAAATAGATCGATCTGTACCGAGGACACGGGAGAACGGTTATCTGCCGCTTGGCCGACGTGTGTTGACTGTGAGTAACGCAAATCAGCCAGTTTTAGTACAGCACGCACAGTGCTCACTCTTCACGTCGCCTAACGGAAATGACCCAGTGGAGCCGCTTTCAATGATTTGTGTATAGCTACTTTTAGCTTTGCTTTATTTTCCGTCTGAAGGGTTTGGGTTTGAACCTGCATCGAGGGAGGATGTTTTAAATTGGCCTATGGGCTTATGATTCCAGCAAGCATCAGTAGTAGGTATCCTCGCTATCTTGAGTTGAAATTGGGACACGCCACTAATATTTTAAGCTGATAACGGCACAAGGCATACAGAAAAGTTCATATTCCCATTTTTTAAGGTCATCTATCTGCGTGAACGGGTTAATTACTCGCTCGACAATGGAATTAAACATAGAAGCATTGCCACCAAGAAATAAACAAAACGATATGCTCAATAACATCAAAATTCTCATCAACACATTTTAAATACTAAAAGTATCAAAGCCTTTGGAATTTAATAAGGTCTACTGAGATAACTATAGGTGCATCTTTTATTCTCGAGCTCTTATCTAGATTTTTTTTTTTTTTTTAAAATAAAAGGTGTATCTTCTAATCTAGAGCTCATATCTTCATTTTAATAAAAGGTATATTTTCTATTCTAGAGCTCATATCTATATTTTTATAAAAGGTGTCTTCTATTCTCGAGCTCAAATATAGATTTTTATAAAAGGTGTATTTTCTATTCTAGAGCTCAAATCTAGCAGTCTATAAAAGGTGTATTTTCTATTCTAGAGCTCAAATCTAGCAGTTTATAAAAGGTATATTTTTTATTCTGTAGCTCAAATCTAGCAGTTTATAAAAGGTGTATCTTCTATTCTAGAGCTCATATCTTTATTTTTATAAAAAATGTATCTTCTATTCTAGAGCTCATACCTAGATTTTTGTAAAACAGGAGCGCTTTTTTTTTTTATTTCAATTTTGGAGTAACGACGAAATGGCTGGGGCATGCTTTCAAAGGGTGAGTCCCGGTGTAAACGGGTCGCTGGTCACTCTAAAATATGTTACCAGAAAATTGAAACTCAAGGCGGCCGTTGTAATGTTGAGAATGCGGTATATCGAATAGTGACCGGTCTGTTAAATACTAGTTTAGTACCAGATGCACCAACTGCGGTAACGGTTTCGGCCCAAGGCAGTTGTTACGTTAATCCCTTCATTCCCTAGAAGATGAACTCAGTATATACTGATGGGATAAACTCAAACCGACAGTCGAGGCCTAGGTCATGGGAAGGTCAGTTGGTGGTCCAAAGCCACAGCGCGCCGAGACATGGTAATACAGCAAGTAAGGGACAACGAAAACGTGGTTCGGGTCCAGAAAGCAGCCCAACAGTCGCAGCAGGGCCATTGGGTCAGCCTGAAGAGCGCATTGCCAGGAGTACTCACATGGGGTGAGATCTGGCGAATGACCCCGCCGCAACGATGTATTACCGTCCGGTGTCAACATGGAGAAGTGGTCTGCGACTAACGACCCGACATGCCCGCTGTGCAGAGCGAAGCAGACGTTAGAACACGTTCTGTCCGCATGCAGGAAAGCCCTAGGTCAAGGCCGATATACCTGGCGCCACAACAAAGTGCTAAAAGAGTTGGCAGCCGTTGTGGACCAGACTAGGATGAGGGCCAATGCGAGGGCCAGTCCTTTCATCGTCCCCATACGCTTCCTCAAGGCTGGGCAGATTCAAAAAAGTAAAATCAACAAAGGCGCATTCGCTTTATCTATGCTAGACTCTGCGAGGGACTGGTTACTGGCGGTTGATCTGCCTGGCCATGAAAGGTACCCTGAGTCAATTCGGAAGACCGGCCGGCGACCTGACATAGTTCTCCACTCTGCGGAGAAACGGCAGCTCATCCTGATTGAGCTGACCGTCCCGTATGAGTCGCGAATGGACAAAAGCCATATGTACAAGCTAGAAAAGTACTATGACTGAGCTGCCGATCTGAGGAGAGACGAAGAGTACACAGTACGAGTCTTTGCCGTCGAAGTGGGAGCGAGAAGTCTCGTTTCCACTTCACTCTACAATGTGGTTAAAGAATTAGGCTTACAAGGTAATGAACGCAAACGGACACTTGAAAAGCTGGCGAGGTTGCTGAGAGGGCCTCGAGCTGGCTCTGGACACAGCGAAACAACGTAGAGGACGGGCCTAGGTGAGCTGGTCCGGGTGTCTAGTGGAAAAGAACTTCTCATCCCTTGAAAGTCCATCGTGTCCGAATTGTCTGCCAGTGTCCCTCTGCCACCTGCTAACAAAAGTCTAACATGTGTCCGGTATACTAATCGTAAGCTTGCCGCTCGGTCGTTCAGGTATGCAGACTGCTTTAATTATGCTACAGCGACGACTTCTTATCTCACAGTACCTTCTGCAAAATCACCAATTCGACTTGTCCCTATCCGAGTAACATCTGGTAATCGGTGCAGCAGGAGAAACCAACCCTGAGCTTCATGAACTCAGGTGGGCCCACTCTCTGAAAATGTCTAGGAGCGCGTGGGCCGAAACATTTGTCGACGAGAGATTACTATTACTGATGATTGGTAGACCCCTGCTGTACATGCTCCCGTGTGGAGTTTCTTCTTATTAGGTCTTAATGCTTTGAATTTCCCGAATGCATTCCGGGACCCCATTGATGGGAAAGCAAGAACAAACCCTGAAGGTTGGACTCATTTCTTTTTCTAAGCCGCACGGTCAGGATTCGAACCCGATATCTTCGGGTTACCGCGAGAGTGTCTTGTCAATTTGATACCACGGGCTTGCACAAAAGGGGATACAAATTAGGTATCAGATCATTTCTAAAATTTTCCTATTTTGCATCTTCTTCTTCTTTTTCTTCTTTTTCTTTTTCTTCTTCTTCTTCTTCTTCTTCTTCTTCTTCTTCTTCTTCTTCTTCTTCTTCTTCTTCTTCTTCTTCTTCTTCTTCTTCTTTCTCTTTTTCTTCTTCTTATTCTTCTTCTTCTTCTGCTTCAGCGTTTGGAACCTTTGAGGTTCATTGATGCAGATATCGCCTGCCTCTACTCACCTCTCTCTCTCTCTCTCTCTCTCTCTCTCTCTCTCTCTCTCTCTCTCTCTCTCTCTCTCTCTCTCTCATTACGGATCTACCTATTATGTAAGGGGTGAGGGGGGAGGTGTTCACTAGACACCAGGCTCACCCGGAAGCCAGACACAAGACAAAAATCCAATCTAGCTAAATAGTTTTTTAAAAATTTACTCGCTGTAATGAGGAAAACAAAATTGGACGGAACATTTTGGGAAGCCATAAACTTATAAAAGCTAAAAAAAAAAAAAAAAAAGGTTTAAAAATAATAAGCTTACGAATAACACACCATCCATTGAGAAGCACCACCAAAGACCGTACAAATCTCTGACCTAATTTGAAAAGCTTCAAAGGCTTCCAAGCAATTTACCGAACCTTGGATTTTAATAATGAAAACAAACTATCCATGGGTAAAAAAACGTGAATCATGTTTGAAAAGAAAGAAAAATCTTTGACACCAAATTACAAATACAAAAACGGACACAATGATTTGTGAAATTCTCACACAGAAGTAAAGTAAAAGTAAAGATCCCATTTGAAGCCTTAGGCGCATCGGGCATATCGGAAAAGCATCCATATTTTTACAGACCAATCGGCACTTGGTGGGTAATGTATGGTCAGCATTACGCCAGCCGTCTTTACTTGCCCAGGACATACATCATGGTACCCATTTTAGGCTGGTCGACCTGCGACG